AAGATATCCTAGTCATTCCATTTCCCTGTTACAAATATTATTTTTGGACAGAAATGCTGCAAATAAAAGTGCAAGGCGAGCTAAAGATTTTAAGCAAGAGGTACCCAAGGTTGAAAAGGATTCTGTTGACATGAACTGAAGAAATACAACATACCTTTATACTTACTTAGCTCTTTGATGTTATACATGATACCCAGTATGGCATTACAACCAACTGTACATGTCATAAAAATACAGAGATTCCATGTGGAGTGAACCTGCAGTGAATTAATGCCTCTGTCAAGGTGTATCCTGAAATGTATTATGCCATCCTTGCTTCAAATTCTAGTTTACATATTCCCTGCAACTCACAGGACCAGGAATATTAAAACACCCCAGCAAAAACAGGAAACAGTTTATTTTAAATTCCATCCCAAAGTAGATTAACAGTAGATTTGGAATGAGAAATTACATAAAATATTTATAAAATTGTGAGCTTTATAATAAATTCTAGCTATTGTGAAAAAGTATGTAATTACCTTTTTTTTCCCCCATGTTAATTTAAGACAGTAGGGTTTGGGCCTGGAGCACAAGTCTGATGAGGCTGAGGGAGCTGGGGCTCTTTAGGCTGCAGAAAAGGAGGCTCAGGGGGACATTTATAACTCTACAATTCTGTGAAAGAAGGATTTGGTGAGGTGGGCTCAGTTTCCTCTCCAAGGTAGCAAGGGACAGGACAAAACAGCCTCAAATTGCACTAGGTGAGGTTTAGGTTAGGTATTAGGAACATGTTTTTCATGGGAGTGGTTGAAAAGTATTGGAACAGGTTTCCCAGGGAAGCGATGGAATCAACATCCTTGGAGTTTTCAGAAATAATGTGGATATTGAACTAGGAGGAAATGGTTTAGTGGAGCACATGGTGGTGGTGCTGGGTTGATGATTGGACTTAAGGGTCTTAAAGGTCTTTTCCAGTCTTAGTGATTCCACCATTTCACTTGTGTCTCACCTTAAAAAAGTGCTGGGAATTTTATATGCCCAGAAATGAGATATTTCTACATAACAGAGCAACAGATGTTGACAACTGACACACACTTCCTGCACCTACTGAAAATTACCAGCATCTTAAATTATCTCCAGGTGCTATGAAAAAGCTGCAGACCACTGATCAGCAAGTCAGAAAACTGACACAAATGTGATTTCTTGGGGTTTTTAAGCATTAGCTTGAGTCCCCACTTCAGTCAGAGAAATATCAGAGTGAAACAGTAAAGAAAATGCAGCCAATGCTATGTGTTAGGAAGGGACTTTCATTTATAGCAGGCATTTTTACTCATGTATTTTTTTGCAGAAGACATCTCTGAGATAGGATTTGCACTGGACTTTGCTGCAAGAGTAGAGAATTTGCATATTTTAAATCTCTGGCAGAAATCCTACAGTGTAGAAGCGGCAATGAACACCAACTCCCTCCCTCTCCAGTGCAAAAGGAGCAGATGAGAAATTTTACAAGTTGCACACACTGCCCCTTGACCTGTGTGATACTGGATAACCCTCTGCAGTGTCAAGCAATGGATCATCTTACCTGCTGCTGCAAAACAGACTTCCTTCCCATGTCTGAGACAGAATTCCTGTCCTGTTTCACCTATGGAAGGAAATCATAACAGAACAGAACCCACAAACAAACAAACCCTCCAAACAAAAAGACAGCTAAACAAATAAAACCAAAAACAGAACAAAGAGAAACTTTATAGAAAATTGAACTCAACCCCAAAAATATTTCCTAAACCAGCCTTGACAAAGTACATTTCTTGTTACATCCACCCCTCTTTCAGGGTGGAAATGGAGCTCTGGAAAAATGCAGCAGAGCTGAGAGGCCCTGATGGAAAGGAGAGTTTCTGGACACAGAGAAAAGCATTGTAGCAGATTGGTGCTGTATCATATTTGTTTCTGATGGATTTAGTTGGTCAGCCCTCTTCCTCCTTCCATGCAACACATGCACACTGATCTATAGCACACACATATGGTCACCAGCATAGAGGCAGCAAATGCCAGATCAGATAGAGAAAGAATAAATTTAAGAGATTATAAATGTCTTTTCATAATAGTATATATTCAATACTGTCACTAAAGTAAGAGTGTCCAAAGACAATATGAACACTTTTCTTCTCTTACATAATTGTAAGAAAATAATTTCAATTCAACTTAGTAATGGCTTTGTTACACTGTTAAAAGGTGATTAAAAAGGCAAAACAATTTTCATTTTGAATCTCTAAGGGGAACCATTGCCCTAGTGAATATTGGACAAAAAGATTCTTTCCTGCCATGAGGTCATGAAAAGGTGAAACCTTTTCAGTGGGAAGGAGGACAGGGATGTTGTTGGTGCAACACATCCTGGCTGTCACATGGAGAGGGAGATGGAGGCCTTGTGAAATCAGTTCTGTGTCACCTCTACAGCTGTGTCCAGCCCCCTCTTTGTGGTTTCAAACACAAGTCCAGCTTTATGTATCTGCAAAAACTCTCTCTCAGAAGCATTTTCTTCAAAGAGATGCTGAGATTTGTTTTATCAGATAATGCTGCAACCCTAACGTGACACGTGAAGAAAGAGGAAACTTCCTAAAAACATTCCAAACTCCTCTTTGTGCCACCCACACGTGCAGTCATTACTGAAGGACAGGGCTGCTTGTGGCTCTCACAGGGCTGGAGCCTGGGCAGGGATCACCCAAGGCAGAGCAGGATTTCCCCCAGGCTTCCCTTTCCTCCCCAGCCCTCCCACAGCTCTTTGGGTGCTCATCACAATAAAAACGTGGCCACGAGATTTAAAATCAAAGGCACTGAGTTACAAACCCTGCTGAAAATCTGGCACTTTGCTGAAGTGTCGAAATACTTCTGGTCAAAATATGGCCATAATCACTAAAATGTACCATTGCTTTTCATAATCAGCAGTATTTACTCACATAAATAGTTTTATTGACTCCGATCACAGGAAATGCTAGTTTTGTGTGACACTGGGAAGGACTTCTAAGACCTAGGAGACAACCATGACATAAATATTGCAAAGACAGAGCTATCTAAGAGTGTATTGCTACAGTTTCTGTGCATTCAAACCATAGTCAGTGTTAGTTCTGCAAATCTGCATCACCTCATCAGTGTGTGGGAGCAAGGGGTAGACTTGTATCCCTTGGAAAATATGCAGAAGCAAAGAGATGGTAGAGAGAAAGATAGAGATTTTATTTTAAATTATCTTTAAGGTCCTTTCCAACTCAAAACTTTCTCTGATAGGAACGTATTTGTGAAGCACAAAACAGTGACACGGTGCCTGAGAAAGGATAAACAAATTATTGCTCTATGAGTTTTGCTTTTGTTCAGCCTCAAAAAAAGAGTCACACAGTTGAGATACTCGACATTTGAGTTTTAAAAGGAGTGCCCTGGGATGATGGTCCCTCATTAAGGGATCAGCTCTATAATTAATCAGCAAATGGGCCAGGGTGCACCATCAGCTGATGGCAGATATATTTCAAGTCAAACCTCTGCTCCAGCATATTTGTAAAGCTTTTTCAAACAGGGTCCTGGGTCAGACCAGACACAGCAGTCTTACAATATTTTCTTAAAGTATTGCCCAGCCTTGGAAATACAGCTGAGCGTCTTGGATTCTTCTCATAAAGTGAAAAGGGCCATGTGTCTTGTAAAGACAAGCCCCAAGGGAACTGAGGTAAAGTATTTTTGTAGCCTTAACACAAATTTTCCTTGTGTTTATGACTTCATTATTTTAGTGGGTGTGTTATTTCAGTGGGTTTTTCAGCTACTTATTTTCTATCTTCTTTATGGCTCTCCTTTTTTTTTTTCTGTCTACTTTAAATAAGGAAAATGGACTCAACAGACGATGCAGAGGTCTTTATAGCAGAGCTACTGGTTTTCATTCCTGTTTCCTGAACCTCAAAGAATCATGTGCTTAAGATGCTCAAGGAATATTTTTGTAACATAATATTAAAGTTACTGTTGGTGTCTGGTCAGTGTAAAAGCTCCCCATATGAGCAGAGGTGAAAATTTTAGGCATCCATCTTCTGTTAAGTGTAGTGAAAGAGTTAAGGCAAAATGAATTAAGGGAACACAACCGACAAGAGAAAAATTGTTTCTGATTAGCAGGAAAACCCAGGATTAGGATGTGGTTACTCTGTAATTGCAAAATCTGATCTTCAGTAATATCTGGCAGGGTTTTAGAGAAAAAAGCAGTGAAAGGACTGAAAACTAATGCTGAGCTCATTTAAGGTGAATTAATCCAAAATACTGGTCTCCATACCTATGGAGTTGACCCCTACATTGGGAGAGCCCTACCTCTGCAAAAAGCTGCTGGAATTGGTAGGACAGATGTGGTGTAGCACATCTGTCTGGCCTGGGCAGAGTGGTTTTCACAAAAGTGCCCTTTTTTCCAGGTGCAGCTTCAGCCAAAATGCACAGAGACAGCAGCTATTGATCGAGCAGAGCTGAACCAATGACCCATCCAAATTGTTGGGTTATTAATTATCACTTCTACTTTACCTAATGTCAACTCACTTGCCATATCTGCTTTACTGGTAGCTTGTTTGCCTAATTAACAGTAATTTGCATTTTAACTGAGCCTGTAAGTTCCCTGTAAAGTCTGTGCTTGGGGACTCCAGTGATCACCAAGTTGCTGGTCAAAGTTTTGATAAGAAGTAATGCTTGAGTAAATCCTACAAGCCATCACCCTAAGGCAAAGTAATCTCATGGCAGGGATGGCTGAGTAAAATAATAGGAAGCATGGAGCTTTTCTCAAACCTAGAGCCAAATCTTTTACATGACATGAAACTCTCATTTTTCCTCTTTTTTTTTTTTTTTTTCCTTTTTTAATTTGTTATAGACTTTTGATCTGTGCCAGGAAAAAAAAAAAAATCAAGACAAAAGTCTGTTCTTGGATTTATGACATGAGAAAATCCAGGAAGGAAAGAAGACCTCACGAGAAAGCCTCTTTTTACTATGATTACATGACTTTCAAAGTGAATGCAGTGGCAAAAAAAGGTACAAAAGCTAAAAAAAACTAAAAACATGAGGAGTCTCTTTCCCTACCAAGTCAAAAGAGGTGGTACCATGCATTAGAACCTGGCAGAGTCCTGACATTCCAGTCCATGATATGCAGTTTGAATCTTCAGCAGTAAGCTGTGAACATTGAACTGTCAAGTGCTCAGCTCTTCCAGCTGGAGGTATCTCAAACATTCTCTTAATTTCATTCAAAAATAATAAAATTGTGGCAGAGAGGTAAAAGTACCTACTACAGGCATAGGAAATGTTCAAGGCAACAGGCAGAAGTGAGTTCAAAGGAGAGCAGATAAATAAGTTGCTGTCGTTTATGTTTTCCTGTTTAAAAAAGAAAAAAAAAAGAAAAGAAAAAATGCAAGAAAAAGAAGAATATAATAGATTTAATATGTAAAAGAGTTTGGTAAGAAATACAAATACAGGACTGACTCAACTGAACACTGATTAGAGTGAGGAATACTGCCTTATGGATTATCTTAAGGGGAAACAAATGTCCTTTCTTCCCCAGTCAAAAAAACGCAACATAATTGAATTTCACACAGATAGGATTGGACTTAACATCAACCAAATAAAGGTGCACAAAGCAGGTCATAAAAGTTAAATAAGAATGTAAAGTCTATTACTCACCTCTCCTCTGTAGCTTGATTTTTCCTTTTGTTTCCTTCTGGTTTTGGAGTTTCAGAGAACATTTGAATTTAAAATTCTCCGCTTATGCACTTATCCATTGCACCCGATCTATGCCACATTTCTGCTGAAGGACCTCAGCCTTCATTAAATACCCCAATTCTGCTTGCAGGCCCTTTTGATTAAGCAGTCCTTGTTGAGTGAGATCCAACCAGTGGAAAAAAAGAAGGACATGTAAAGACATTGGTGACTAGCAAAATCAAAACAGCAGCCAAATGTGCCTAATTCACAAATGCTGTGGTTAGAAAATTTGAGTCCCAAGGAAGCCAGCCTTGGATTTGGGCAGGAGACCTCAACACTGGCTATAAATTATTTTTACTGCTGGTCAGGATCTGGCCATTGAGCTGGACAGACTTTCTTACCCCTTCCTTTACCAAGAGATTTTCTGAGCCTCTTTTCATACGTGGTGTATTGCTCAGGGACCTGCTGCAACAGGGTGGGACAGCAGCTCCATAAAAGTGGATACTGGTGGCCTATTCACACACATTCATCTAATTTTCCTAGAAAAGCATCAATGAGGAAAGCTGCTGCTCACTGCCCTCTAACAATCTACCCAAGGGTTAAAATATTGATCCTTACCTACAATATAATGTAGCTTGACATGTTTCATCAAGCATGTCGTTCTCACTCCTGTTCCAGAGCACTTCTCTGAAAAGTAAAAACAGTAAAAAAAAAAAATCCCTGAGATTGCTACTAACATGTAAAATATATTTAAATAAACCAAAATAGCAGAGAGAAAAAACTTCGTTGTAGCACAATAGATAATTTAACACCAAACTTTAAACAAATAGTGCCATTTGCTTTTTCAGCAGCAAAAAGAGCTTATTATTTCACTATTTCATCTCACCTTGTGTCATTAAAATATAGGACACAAGTAGTAAAACACAAAGTAAATATGCACATATCTTTACACCATGTAGGGCAGCTATAAATCTTACTCTTTGATAACAGCTGTACTATAGCAATCATTTGAGTAGTGCAGCTGCCACAACAATATCAAATTTTATAGTTAAAAAGCAGTCAAAACTTTAATGGTACAGTGGAGGTAGATATATATTGTGCTATAAATAAACATTATCTAATGAAGAAATGAAACATGTTTATTTTTCCTTGACATATCGTTCAAAATCATATATCTTTGCTGCTGCAAGCTGCTATAATAGCAGCCATTACACTTCAGCATGTATAACAACAAGGTCTGTAGTTGGGCTAATTACGCTGGATTTAAATGAGGGATGGGGGAACTTCAGACAGCGTGGCCTTGCAAGCAAGGCTTTCATTTCAGCAGAGCAGTATCTTAAAATGTTATCAGAGCTAACATGTGCTGGCAGAGGTTCTGAAGCAGTTGGGAATGCAGTGAGAAACGAGTGGGTTTTCCCTCAGACGATGACTTCTGCTGTGTTGGTGTGACAGGGTGTAATCGATCTGGGGAGCAGGGGACCATGAGAACTGATGTGCTGGTTCAGTCACTGCCACATTACTCAAATATGAGAAACCTCTGAAAGGATTCCAGGAAGCACATGTCTAGCACAGGCAGGCTCATCTCCCTCCCGAGGTAATAATGTGCCTAAAATGTGGTTTCTGTGGATTTACTGAGGTTTCTGCTGTGCTGACATTCAGCCTAGGGATGCACTGATGGCACCTGTGGAGACATTCACCTGCACAAAGACCCAGAGAGGGCATGGGGATGATTGTAAACGTGCTAGGAACATCTAATATTGAAGAGTTTTGAGAACACAGCTCATCATGCTATGTAAGGGAAGGCCACAAAAACGTTCAGGTGTGTGTTTCTGAAGGAATTTTCTCTTGAGTCAAAAGTGGACTTCTGAAAGACATCTCCCAGTCCCTGCTGCCCATCCCACTGCAAAAAGGTATCTGAAAACCACTCACTTGGTGCCCTTGGAATGGCACTAAAATGCTGGTGCAAACCTAAAGCAGTCTGTCAGTGCCAGGTACTCAGTCCATGAGACCACACCAGTCTCAGTCCAAGGCTAGCCCCAAAAAATAAATATGGTTGATCTGAGGTGCTCAGCATCAGCTCCATCCCCACTATTCACTAGGATCATTAGGTTTGGGAAAGATCTCTAAGGTCACTGAGTCCAACCACGAACCCAGCTCTGCAGGTGAACCACAAAGATGTAGCCTCAGACTACCAAATAGAAGAGCAAAGTAAACAACTACAGTATGCCACAAGATGAGAAAGAGAGCCGGGGGTGACAAAAAAAAAGATATCCTGGGTTCCTGCAGCACCAGGAAAACCAGCAAGCAAAATTCATGAGCTCCATTCCCTTAAAAATCCTTCTTAGGAAGCTCTGATTCCCCTCTTCACATCATGAAATTCTCCCTGCCAGAAGGGAGATTACCATCTTGCCTGGAGTTTGCCTCCTGTTCAGTGTGGGTTCCTCTGAAGGTGACACATGGACACCCTGGTGGGAATTGCTGCAACCCGGGGGAGCAGATCCATTGGAGAGCAAATCCCTGACAAACAGCTTATTACAGCTAAACTTTGTGCGTGCCCACCATCAGAGATCCTCAGGGTGCTTTTGCTTGCCATCAGCAGAGCATTTATCCAAAAAACCCCATGAGATGCTATAAAATAAACCCAACAGCTGTTAGCAGAATTTGACAAATCCTAGATACCTTTTTGTCACATTGCAACCTATACAATTTGCTCCATGTTTACAAACAAATTGCTGCAGAAAAAATATTAAGTCCTGGCATTTAGAGAAGCTCTAGAAATTACTCACTCCCCTGGAATTCTGCATGACAAATTAAGACTACACTGCTACTCCTAATAAATGTAGCTAGAGCAAAGTTTCATAAACATTCTTGAGATTTCTTCTGTAACAGCTTTATTTTGGCTCCCCACTTTTCCTGCTTAAACAAATGGTAAGGTTGGCTGATATTGTCAAAATACAGCACTTCTCATGAACCAGGAGTCATTTATTAATGTAATTTATTGAGCCAGCGTTGTAAAACATAAAATCATATTTTTACTGTGGGACTCAGATACACTAAACAAACAAACAAAAAATAGCAAAAAACCTCCTCGTTACCCCAAGCTAAGAATATTTTCTTTTAAAAGTCAAATTATTGCAACTGTGGATCTGTAAGATTATGTGTTTCCAGAACTGGCCTTTCAGAGGCCAACAGGGTAAGTGTTAATGAACCGTGCAATGTTGGGTAAGAACAGAACAGATGTTTGTACAGCCATCAGGTAGACCTTTGTTTATATAAATGCACCACAGTAGATAATACCTAATACCTTTCTCATGGCTTAAAATAACCTTCCCACTAAAAATACAAACAGGCTTTTCCCCAGTTGTGAACATGCTTAAAATCTAATTAATACACAGCCGACTGCAGACCCACCAAACTGCTCAGGCAGGGTTGGACCTGTCACCCAGCATCACCTCTTTCATGACACAGTCTTAATCTCCTCCTTTGTCCTTATATTACAGTTTTTGCTCTAAAGGTTTCTGCACTAAAAAAGTGAGGAGGTGAAGCCATAGTTCAATTCAATTTATTTTTATATTGCCTCTCATACAAAGTCTTTCAAAACTCTTTATAGTGAGAGATAAAATAATCATATAACGCTGGCTGGAATTCAGTGCTGTGACTTTTAGACTCAGGATAAAAGCTACATAACAGGAAAGTAAAATTAAGAAAATTTAGAATCAGAGAGAGGATTAATAAATACATATTGTTCCTGCACTGTGGGAGAAGAGGGAAGCACATCCCTGTTCTGGTGCATTTGTTTCTTTAGTTTGGAGGGTCCCAGCATAGAGGGTCTGTTGGAGAGGGTGAGAAGGGCATCACTTAAAGGAGGCTCTTCCAGCTGTGTTGGGCACAGAAACATCAGACAGATGTTTTCCTTCATATGGAAAACCCAGTCTCCATTCAGAAAGCAAGAAAACTTCAGCCTATTCTGAGAAAGAAATGGAAAAATGCACCAAGCCACCCACACTCATCATCTGACAAACATAATGCAGGAGTAGCCCCACAACCAGGGAGGGAAAGTTTTTTGCAAAAGACGACCAAAAAAAGTTAAAAAAAACTTATGGCAACACCATTATTATAATAAATTTAAACTATTTATACACATTCAGTGTTCAAAAACATTACCCCATAATAAGTAACACAATTATTCATAAGAATAACCCTGAAACGAGGTACATACCATACCCTGGCAGAACAAGACAATCAGGAGTCATTGTGTGGACTTTGTTTACCCAGCTAAACCCATCAGATGTAGGAAATAAGCAGCAAAAAACTGCCTCTTGGGCTTCCAAAATAACTCTACCCCATATGTAAAAAAACCCTGAATATTAGCATGCTCACCCAGTTTATCCCAGTATAACCTCAAGCAGCACAGGAGAAAAATGCTCCTCAAAACACACTGATAATTAAAGAAACTGTGTAATAAATTCTGTGATACAGTCCTATATTGTCATTGTAAAAGTTTACTACATCTTCGAGGTCCATCGATTCAGAAGCCCACACATAAAGAAGCCTGGTGAAAGAGCATCTAAGAAAATATTTGGGCAAGAGCTAATATTTCTTCCCACCTGTCTTCATGCCCACACCACTCAACACAAGCCACATCTTTATAACACACAGTAAGAAAACACAATATATAGTAACTCATTTTCTGACCTTTTAATATTTCTGCCATTGATTGTCAGAAGTGAGGATGGCTCTCTATCCTAAGGTGATGGATTATTTAATTAACTATTGACCTTTTCAGTATCAGATGTTGACAATGAATGCGCTCCTGTGTAATCTGCCTCCTCTGGATGCTGTTCAGCTCTCCAATGCACGTGGATTTGTCTCACATTTTGGTTTTAAGTGTAACATTTCCATTATTTTAATCTAGAAACAAGTCAAAGTCTTGTATTTAATGATGAATACTTTTCTGATCTACTGCTTTGAGTTTTCTTTTGAACCATACTTCCAGCAGAATTTATGTGAATATTAACAGAATTGCATCTTTCATAGATAAAATCATTTTTCACTTCCTACCTATGACTTAGGTTCCTGGCATGCTTTCAGGACAACTTCTGCACCAGGAGGCAAAGAAGCCAACCCAGAAAGGAGAAATTGTTCATCATCTGTGCACACGGGTCAAGAGATGTCCCGGACTGAAGATTGTAGCAGTCATTTGATATTACACTTTGCCTTTGGGCCCAGCAAAGACTCCAGCCAGGAACACGATGACATTTACACCAAGCACCTTCAAAAAGAAAGCATTTCCCTACTTTCCCACAAGACATGCAACGTCAAGCTTTGTTTACACACAGGCAAATTGACTTAAGGCTTTTTCTTCCCCAAAATAAAGAGAAAGGATCCAGATCCTCATCCTGGAAACCTGGGATCCCAGTGCTCTGTTCTCAGCAATTACATATTCAGCTACAATCTTTTTATAAGCAAACAAGGTATTTTCCTCCACGAGCTTGTTGTTGGAACCAAACACTGAGCAAATGATCCGTGCCTCCAGGTTGTCAGAGAGATTTACATGTGACTACACAGCAGTTTGGGTATTCCACTGTGATTTCTCTCCAGGACTGAGAGAGCTCATTAATCTATCATATTCCTGGTAGAAACCATCCAGCATTTCTACAGGAAAAAAGTTCCTAGCCTGGCACACC